GTCCATTCCCGTCCATTTTAGTTCACTGACGCCCAGGATGTCAATGTTTATTCTTGCCATGTCCTGTTTGACCACATCCAGCTTTCCAAGGTTCATAGATCTTACATTCTAGGTTCGTATGCAGTATTTTTCTTTGCAGCATTGGACTTTCCTTTCACTTCCAGGCGCATCCGCAGCTGAGCATCCTTTCGGCTTTGGCCCAACCACTTCATTACTCTGGAGCTACTTCTATATGTCCTCTCCTCTTCCTCAGTAGCATCTTGGACACCTTCCGACCTGAGGGGATCATCTTCCGGCATCATATATTTTAGCCTTTTGTTTTTGTTCATGGAGTTTTCTTGGCAAAGATATTGGAGTGGCTTGCCATTTCCTGCTCCAGGTGGATCATGTTTAGTCAGAACTCTCCACTATGACCTGTCCATCTTGGGTGTCCCTGCATGGTCTAGCCCATAGCTTCTGTGAATTACTCAAGCCCCTTTAACATGACAAGGCAGCAATCCATGAAGGGGTTAACAAACATGGGAATCAATTAAGATGATCTGTTCTTAAAACAAACAAACAAACAAACAAACAAATCCTCATGTCTCTGGAATTTCCCATTTTCCTGGGATTCTCCTGACAATATGGAAAGTAAGCTTGACAATGCTCCTATCTTCATCTCTGAAAAGGAGAAATTATCACAGTTGGGAAAATTCCTGGACAAGTGCACCCAAAATATAATGCATATTCAACTCCTTAGTTGCAGTAGTGCTGAAGATAATAAAACTACTGAGTCACTAGCTACAATGGGAGTAAGAGAAAATTCACGATGGAATATTAATTTATAGCCGCCTAGAGTGGTCTATTGACTATGATAGAATATTAATTTATAAGATACATGGTCAAAGTAAGGCCAATATTATAAGGACAGAAAAAAATGGAAGTTTCTCACCACTATGGCTACCAGCTAGCAGAGCTTTTCCAAATAGCAAGCAAGGCTCTCTCACAATCTGTACTTAATGGACATCTAACTGATCCCTCAGTTGCCCAAACATTTAGCAACACATTTTGGAGGTGAGAAATTGCTCATATTTGCTCTGACCAGGGATGTGAAAGAAGCTCACTATTATTGAGAATTTAGCTGAAACAGGCTGTCTTGACATAGTTTCTTCAATGCCCACAAGATAACTCACATTCAGCATGAAACCAACTGCCAAACTAGAAACATCTCTGTGGGGATTCTGACACCTGCACATATCCCTTTGAGCCCCACAGAACTTTCACTAACTGCTTTGCAACTGCTATAGTAAACTATTGTTTAAGCCTCAATTTTAAAAGCACTTTCATTTTCAGCAGTACTTTTCTATACGCCCCTTAATTATTTTAACACTATACACAAAAAATGTAACATCTTGACAGCCTTGGTGCAAAACTGGTGTTTTTTCTTTTATGAATCTAATCACACACACAAAGAAAAAATAACTGGAAAGGCTAACTGACCAAAAAAAAAATGTTAGAACTGATTTGCACAAAAACTTTGACCTGGAAGAAAAAAGAACTTAAATTAATTTAAACTGAAATTTACAGGCCAGGGACTGCTCTCTTGAATGGTTCACCTTGTTTAGAGGAAGCCAGGCATTTTTCAGTGAGTTGACCTATTTTTCAAAATGTTCCTCAATTCAATAAGTGTGTCAGCTGATCAAGGGCTGACTGGTGATCTTAGTGTCCAAAGAACCACCCATTCATCTATTTCTGCATGAATAAAAGAGTCATCTTGGGCTAATTTAATGCCAGAATTGTGTTGAAATACAATGTATACACAATAGACTACTCTGACTATAATAAAATATTTTATCATCATCATCATCTATTACCACCATCATCTATATATAACTAGTGTTTCTGGTTTCCTGACACTCCAGGGACTTGAAACATTATGAGATGAAATGGCTAATTCTTAGCAGAATTCTTCCTCTCTCTCATTCAACCTGTTTCAGAGATGAAATTAATAGCAAACTAACATCTTAGTTTCCAACAAGTCCCTGCACAAGCCTATAAGGTGTCTGTTCACAGCTGGTAACTGCCCTATGAGCACACATTTATAACATTAAGGGGTGCCAAATGTTTGGTTGCAAGAAGGGGAAATAAGGGAACTTGATAGGTGTCTATGAAATTATGTTTAGTGTGAAGTAAATATATATGGGGAAAACCTCTCACAACACAATGAAGAATGGTGGAAGATCCAGGAGAAACAAAAGAAATAGCATCTTTACACTTCACCTAGTTTAACTGTGGGATTCAATTAACACAAGTTGCAATGATAACTAAGAGTTTGTGTGGGTTTAAAAGGTGATTACACATATTCATAGAAGATAAGACTATGAGTCATGATCTTAACTCCAGCATCAGAAACAATATGCCTCCAAAATGCCAGTTGCTGGGAAACACCTATAGAGAGGTATCATCACACAACTGTCCTCCATGTGGACTGCCCATAGGTATCTGGTTAGCCATGGCAAAGACCCAATTAGGCCTTTATTTTGGTCAAATATCACAGCTCTTGAATTGTAACACTAATCAATGATCAACTGGTTCACTGCTGTACCACATCTTCCGGCAGTTTCTCCTGTCCTTCGGAGACAAATATTAAATAAAGCTCTAGCTAGCCCACCTGTCAATGTAGCATGGAAAGCTGCACAAGTCAATTTTCTGCTCTTATGCACCTATTAAAAGGCCCAGGAGGCATGCCAGGGCGAAAAACAGTCTAAACCTGTGTGAAGTCATACCCCTGAGGTCTCTGGGTTAATTCAGCATCATCCAAGACATGCTGTTTTCTTCATCCATAACCAACCTAGAGTTAAAGGCACCATGCAAAGAATATATCAGAGACAACAAAAGTTGTGTACACACACTGGTCCACTATCTTGGCTTTTCAGTAATTATTGTCAAGTGTTCAGACAGCTTTATAGAATGTTTGGAAACACAACATTTTAAGAAAAATTAGATGTTAGAAGCACTGGGGAGAGAAGGAAAAGGCAACAAATTTCCAATTAAAGAGAAACTGAATTGTTGAATGGGGTAAAGTACAAATGTGTACATGCACACACACAGTTCCTCAGAACATTACATGAAGAAGGTACAAGGGGCAGCAACTTGGTGGGACTAAGCAAGTTCCAATAAGAAAACATGTTAGAATACCCCATGCATGCCTTTGAGTGCCACAATAAATGAAAAATATAATAAATGCAACAAATAATTTAGAGGTACAATATGCTTTATAGACAGTTCCCTACCTGTTCCCCTTAAAACAGATAAAAGTTAGGTACTGCCATTTCTCAAAACTGATAAGGTCCTAATAACTCAGGTGATGATGTTTATCGCTCTATGTATAAACCATTACATACTAGATAACTTCTGCATCACCTTTTTAAAGGCAAAAAAGGCAGCCACTGATGACATAACAAGGAACATACTTTCCTCGGAATTACCCATGAGTTACAAATCATAGAACCATGAAGGGGCCCATAAGGCCATCTAGTCCAATCCCCTGCTCAATGCAGAAATACAAATCGAAGGATATCTGCTAGGTGGTTTGCCTAAATTTCTCTTGAATGCCTCATAGGCAACTGAACACTTAACTCCCAAAAAACATTACTAATCTATGAGATTTCAGTATCTTGGAAACTCTCTCCCTCTCCCAAGGGTTTTATTCTCACTACTCCACAACCTTCTTGTTTTCTTACAGACGAAGCAGGCCTGAGTTATGGCCATGAGGAAGGGCACAGGCAAGTGTGTGCCAGCCTTTAAAATTTGTTCTGAAGAACCAATGTCTACAGGGTGCCGCTACTTTCGCCCTTCAAGAGAAAAAAAAAGTCTACCTGAGGGGGGGGGGAACTATTTTCTACACAACTACCGGTATAAAATACACAGAATCCTCTTCCATCTCCTCGCCTGCATAAGGAAAAGCAGCTCAAAACAACCCAATTCTCAAGGTATTTGCCTACAGGCTGGCGCGGGGAAGCTGTGGCGCTACCCTTTGCTGCTTGTACTCCAGTTCCCACCAGGCCCTGCCACCAGGAGAAAGGTGAGAGATAATCGGAACTGTAGTCCAGCAGATTCCCCAACCGTAATCTAAAAGTAAACCCAAGCCCCACTTCTTGCTCCCACCTTCGGCTGACGGTAAAGCCAAATGCATTTAAAGAACGAATTAAATCCCCTTCAACTCCCTTGCAGAGGGAGGCACGACACCACCCAGACGCCGCTGTTTGGGTGTTGTCGTGGCAACCCAGGCAGAGCAGCGAGGAGGCCACCCTCGGCGGAGGCTCCGTCCAGGAAGCCCCTCTGAAGGCGCGGACGAACTTCAGGGGACTTTCAATGGAGGCAGCATTTGCTGAGGCGCCGGCGCCGCTTGCTCTGTCGCGGCAGGGCCGCCTTTTTCTTTCCCCCCCCCCCCCGCCGCCCCCCCCCCCAAGATCCCCGGCGACGGGCGTGAGGGGGTGGGGGTGAGAAAGAGCGGCGGGGAGCCTAAAAGCATCGCCACGGAACGGGCTAGGCTTTGACCCGAAAGCTTAATTAGCCCCCCGTTGCCCGAGATTAGTTCGCGGCAGGCAAGTTAAAGCCGGCGGAGCTCGCCCTCCTAATCCTCCACGGCTCGCCGCAGACGCTCACCTCTCAAGGAAACCCGGCGGAGAGAGCCGAGCCCGAGGAGCAGGTCCCGCTTCTCGTTCCCTCACGCGTTGGCCTTCGCTTCGCCGGGGCGGCCGGCGGGGGGGGGGGAAGAGAGAGAATAAATAAATAAAAGATACCGAGACGGGGGAAAAAAAGGGCAGCTCGGCGGCACTTCCAGAGGAAGGACGGCATAGGACGCCCTCCCCCGCCGGAGCCGATGGGGATCAGGAGGAAGAGGAGGAGGATTCACTGACTTGCTTTCTCTCCCGCCCGTCCCCGTCTCTCTCTATCTTTTTTTTTAAGCTTTTTCCTTGCTCTCCTCCTCCTCCTTCCCCTTCCAGTTGCAGAGCTCTTCGGGTCTCTCTTTCCTTCCAGTGCGCAGCAGCAGCAGCAGCGGCAGCAATGGCAGGGCTGCCGGAGGACGCCGCCAAATCTTACACCTGCAGGAGAAGGAGGAGGAGGTGGGGCCTGAGGCCGCTGGCGGGGGAAAAAAGGAACGGCTATGAGGAGTTCGTTCCTTGGCCGTCGCTTATGTCCCCTTAGCCAGGACAGGCCCCTCACTGTGTTAAGGAGGCCCCTCGGGCAGCCACTTGTCAGTTGTTCGCCTTAATTCTTAACCGAATTTTTATTGCCAGGGAAGGCAGGGCTGTTCTGTTTTATGTCCCGAAGTCATTTGGCTGGGTCCTGTTAATATGTACTTTGGCCAGTTGGATACGGAGTGCGGAGATGCTCATTCGCATGTCACCCCAGACAACAAAATGCCTTGTGCTGCTGTGCGCCCCTCTCTTTCTTTGTTATTTTTTTCCTTCTTTTTTTATTTTTTTGGCTCTTGGGCCAGGTCAAGATTTTTACTGCTCCACGTGATAAGATAGCACCATGCATGGTTGTGGGGTGCTCCTGGTAAAGGGAGTGCCTGCATCCTCCCAGGATCTTATATTTGTTTATTTTAAAATGCATAGATAGATGTGCTGTGTTCGAGTGGTATGTGTGTATTATGTGAACATTCCACAAGGCAGCTTTCAGCTGGCATCGCGCAGTGAGTTGGACCACCGGCTGGGAGTTCAGATTCCCCCTGTGCCTCCCAGAAGAAGGACTGGCCAACATCACCAACATGGGTGGCTGATGAGGTTAGGTGCCCTGCCACCAGTGAGGTCTTGGAATAAGCTGCGTGGTGTCAGAGCTATACCGGAAGGAGGAACTGAATGCCATAAATCAGATTAGATTTGACAACACACCATTAGAATTATTCCTATGTACCTTAGTCCCCCTTCCCTCCTCCTACAGATACTGGTGGATAGTGATTCCCTCACCTTCCATGTGCAGAAAATCACAAGGCTGGTCAACTGAATCTGAACTCAGCATTGACCTAGCAACCACATCCCCTGCAGTATCTTGAGAGCAGCAGACTAGCTTAAGAGCTGCACCAAAGGCCGTGCAGCGCACACAACTGTCCTTACTGATCACTGCAGTGCAGCAGTGCTGCCACCAAGGTGCATCATGTGAGCAGACAAAAACATGCACTTGTGAGACCAGCAGAATGTGCATCTTGGCTGGTTGTTTCTCTGCTGACTCAGTCAGGGACTTTTCTCAGTGGCATAGACACACAATGACACACTGGAATAAGGTACACTAGGTGAAAGGCAAACAGAAACCAGTAAACATCAGCACCACAGGAATATCCACCTGGGAAACAAGAATGGTTGCAGAAAATTCAGGTGTTCATACGCAGTTCATTAATATGAGCACATAGAGTTATTCAACCATAATGCAGTATATACATGTTTTTGTATGAATTTGTGAGGAACAGCACAGTATTCTGTGGGCTACTAAAGGATGTTTCTTCACATAGAAGCTGTGACAGGACACAACATTTTAAATTCCTGTTGAAGTGTTCAAGCTTTATGATTAGCAAACAGAAAAAGAAGGCATTTAGTGGAGTATTAAATTTTTAAAAATTAAGCAATTGTTAATAAAAATGGTGGTGGTGGTTCAGGAATGAATCCAAGGATGTTATGTGAGACCTTTATACTATTGTACTCTGCATCAACTACTAATTCTGTTTATACTATTATAAATATACGTAGGTCTGTTGTGTAGAATGTTTTCTTTAATTGAATGTACCCATCCACCATACCAATCCATTTTCAAATGGTAATCTTATGCCTTGCTTCTATATGATCATAAAATGTTGGGGCATAAAAATGCAAAAATTTCTTCACAGTGTGCCTGTTCCTTCAGGTTAGAAAATGGAACTTTGTGCTTCTTGTTTTGAAAATTAGTCTGGCAGTACAAGGGGCAGGGTCTGATTTGGCTATGGTGATACATCCAGTAGTTACATCTCTTTTGGATCAGGGCAACATGATTTATGTGGGGCTGCCTTTGAAGAGGGTCTATATAATGTAAGTCAGAAACAAAATAATAGGAAAGGCTGAAGTCTGATTAATCAGTTACCCACTTGAGATGCCATCTCAGGCATGACTGCTGCTTCACAGCCTTGAGCTAGGATGTCACTGTGCATCCCAGCCTTCCCTCTCTGCCTTGCTATTAATGCAGTGTGAGAGTCCTAGCTGCAGGTATATTCTCTACTGCTGCTTTCTGATCACACTTTCTTACTCAGTCTCATTCTTCTTTCAGTTGTTCCATGCTTCCTCAAAATTAATAATAAATAAAATGATACAGCCAGGCTGTATCAGGACCAATCACAGGAAGCATATAACCATCCTGCTAAAACAGCTTCACTGGCTGCCGATCCATTTCCAAGCTCAACTGAAAGTACTGGTTATTTCCTATAAAGCCCCATATGGCTTGTTTCCAGGCTATCTTCAGGACTATCTCCCTGCATGAACCTCTCTGCCCTTAATATCTAGAGGGAGGCCCTTCACCAGTCCTACCATATGTCATGAGATGGCCTTCACAGAATCTGCACCAGATTGTGGAGTAGCCACTCTTAAAAAGCCATGTTAGCATCTTCGTTCCTTCAGGAGACAGGTGAAGCTCTTCCTTTTTAGGCAGGCATTTCATTGGGCAGTACTGCTTATTTTATATGCATGTGTGTATTTAGCTGTTGTAACTAATTGTTTTATATTTAATTGCTTTAATATAATACATTATTGGGTTTTTAGTTTGCTTGTTTTTAATAATTTGGGAGCTGTCTTGGCTCGCTTCATGGGGAGAAAACTTGGAAAAAATGAAAAAAATAAATGTTACATGTTCTATATTACTGTATATTTGCTAGTGTTTGGGATAATGACATTTAAACAGAACAGTGATGTGCTAAATGCTTTAAAAATAAAGCAAAGGTTTGTATTAATAGCACACGTACAATGCACAGTTGATAAACTGGCAGATTCCTATTGCATACTTACACTGGTGTAACTCTGTAAATTTCTCTGATTAATCATCACATGTTAAGAAATCAGGATAGTCATTGAGTCATATGATTGATGTTTGATCCAAAATACTTACTCCAACTTCTTAACTTGCAACAGTTTGCCCCTGAATGTATACTTAAAGAATTGTGCTGGTAAGTGTAACTAACAACATTCTGAACACTGTAATTTTTTTAAATTAATTTTAGTCATTTAGCAATGAATAATGATAATAATCCTTTTGTTTCTGGTCATGGGGCTTTCTTGGCAAAGATACTGGAGCCACTGCCTGCTCCCTGTAGTGATGTACGGAAGTGAGAGCTGGACCATAAAGAAAGCTGGCCGCCGAAGAATTGATGCTTTTGAATGGTGGTGCTGGAAGAGGCTCTTGAAAGTCCCTTGGACTGCAATGAGAACAAACCTATCCATTCTGAAGGAAATCAACCTTGAATGCTCACTGGAGGGACAGATCCTGAAGCTGAGGCTCCAATACTTTGGCCATCTCCTGAGAAGAGAAGACTCCCTGGAAAAGACGCTGATGTGAGCAAAGTGTGAAGGCAAGAGGAGAAGGAGACGACAGAGGATGAGATGGTTGAACAGTGTCATCGAAGCTACCAACATGAATTTGACCCAACTCCGGGAGGCAGTAGAAGATAGGAGGGCCTGGCGTGCTCTGGTCCATGGGGTCACGAAGAGTAGGACACGACTAAACGACTAAACAACAACAATGATAATAATCACACAACATAATTAGTTAGACCTGCCACATCTGGAGTCAGATTAGCTAGAACGACATCCAGTCTCTGGTAGTAGAGGAGGAGGAGGAAGGAGAGATATGTATTCTATATCTGATTTTTCTTCTTTGGTTCTGCTTCCTCAGTAATAGTTTCATTTCCTTGACTGCTGTTTATCTGCCAGTGGAGGAGCCTTAGGCAAAGTTCATCACTTTAAGTGGCTGTTGTAAATCAGTCCAGGGACTGTTGTGGCCTTTTGTTGTTTAGTCATTAAGTCATGTCCTACTCTTCCTGACCCCATGGACCAGACCACGCCAGACCCTCCTGTCTTCCAATGCCTCCCGGAGTTGGGTCAAATTCATGTTGGTAGCTTCGGTGACACTGTCCAACCATCTCGTCCTCTGTTGTCCTCTTGCCTTCACACTTTCCCAACATCAGGGTCTTTTCCAGGGAGTCTTCTCTTCTCATGAGATGGCCAAAGTATTGGAGCCTCAGCTTCAGGATCTGTCCTTCCCGTGAGCACTCAAGGTTGATTTCCTGAGTGATAGGTTTGTTCTCCTTGCAATCCAGGGGACTCTCAAGAGTCTCCTCCAGCACCACAATTCAAAAGCATCAATTCTTCAGCGGTCAGCCTTCTTTATGGTCCAGCTCTCACTTCCATATATCACTACTAGAAAAATCATAGCTTTGACTATGCGGACCTTTCTCAGCAAGCTTTTTAAGATGCTGTCTAGCCCTCATTAAATCATATGCAGTCAGCCAAGAAGCTGAACATCATTAAACAAATGGTTTTACATATGACTTTTTTTACAACAAGTAAAATTTTATTTAAAATAAAACACTACAAAGCAGACATAATGGGAAACATATGACTTACGAAGCAGGAGGACAAAGCATGTTGCCTAAATCATATCTAATTCATATCTTGAGCATGAGAGTACCCTTTCTGAAGCTGTGGGTAACCAGCTACATGTGCATCTTGGCTGACTGTTTCTCTGCTTACTCTGCACTGAAGATAGGCATTCAAGGAAGATGCTGTATGTGAAGACCATGTGCAAAGCCTCATGTAAACTGCAAAAACTGAACTTGAGGAACCATGACTTAAATGTGTTTTCTGGTTGCTTGTACTATTATTATTTATCTGTGATTATTTAAGCTTCCTTTTCAATGTTGATTTTATTCATTTAAAATATTTTTTACTCTGCCTTTCTCTTTGAAAAGGACCCAAAGCAGCTTACAACATCTGAAAGACAATATTTAAAGTTGAAAACAATGGGTATGCAATGGCAGTTAACATCAATAAAAGACAACAATTAAACCTAAGAACAATTATAAAGAGGCAGCTTACATCATTAGGCAGTATTAAAGCTAAGAATAATAAGTATACAAATATTAAAAGGGAAAGAAATAAATACTACTGAGAAATGGAAAACACAAAAATGGAAAACACAAGTAGCACTAAAAATCCAGTCAAAGCAGTAATGCATAACAATCCATCTAAAAATCACACACAGGTAGCTATTTACTGAGGGAAGCCTTTCCTGAAGAGAAAGGTTTTGGCTGCTTACAAAAAAACAGCAAAGATGGGGCCAAGTCTGACCTGTGGGAGGGAGTTCCAAAGTCTGGGAGCAGCAACAGAGAAGGGCCTCTCTTGCATCCCCACCAGATGAACCTGTGAAGGTGGTAGGACTGAGAGAATGACCTAACCTGATGATCTTAACATATGAGCTGGCTCATAATGGGAGATACGATCTTTGAGATAGATTGGACCCAGGCTATTTTGAGATTTATAGATTAAAACCAGCACTTTGAATTGGCTGCCCAGTAACTAACTGGCAGCCAAGTGGAGCTGCTGTAACAGGAGAGTTATGGAATCCCTGTAACCAGCCCCACCCAGCAATCTGGCTGCTGCATTTTGAAGCCACAAAGTTTCCTGACACTTTGCATTGGCAGCCCCACATAGAGCATGTAACGGTAATACATCCTGGAAGTAGTGAAGGATTTAGCTGATTAACCTGTATAGTCAGATTCTACATCTCACAGTGTCAATGTTATAGCAGTGAATAACGATCCTCAATGTGTCTTATCCCTACTTCTTTGGGAATGTGTGGGTATTTTGTTAGATGCCCAGTGATAGGGCATAATGAAAACATTAGTACCTCTTCCCAAAATCAGCATCATAATCATAAGTCTTAAGTGATAGCTTCAACAGACACCTATAATCACCTTCATTGGTTGTGAAATTCTTGCACTATGAAGATATCTCAGACAACATGAGAGGAGAGAAAAATCTGCCAGCTGCTTTGAGGTCTGGCACATTGACAGTATAAGGAAAGAATGCTTTTATGATTGGTAATGTGTGTTTACTATTGCCATTTAAATAAGCAAAGACTGAACATTAGAGCAAAAAGACAGATGGTATTCCATCATGTTCATAAACAGGAAAAAAGGCTTCATTAATTATTTACTACTCATTGAATACCGTTTTTTTCTGCTCTGGTGGCAAGTTATCCTTAAATAAATATATCTGTTTTATCAGAGGCAAAGGAGTTCTTTTTTGAGTGTTTATCAATAGATTGTTTAAATTTTATAAAATCAACACAGAGGAACTTTATCCAAATAAGCAGTCTTTGTATAGAGTTCGGTACAGTTTATTCTCAACAAGATGTATTTATTACATGGTAATATAAATCTTTGAGTTCTGTGGTAGTGTAGCAATCAGATCTTAAGAATCTTAAATGAGGGT